GCATGGAGTGGAGCAGCCCCCTGCCCAGTCTGCCTGCTGAGGAGAGCCTGCCCGTGCTGCTGGGGAGGCTGAGCCTCCCTGCTGTGAAAGGCACAGAGCAGAGGGTGGTGCAGGGAGCCTCAGCTCTGAAGGACAACACCCCTCAGGTGCCAAGGTATTGTAAATGGAGGTGAACTTAGGGGGAAGAAATGATGATGTCTGACTCTAGTTCAGAAGGTTGAATGATTTTTTTTTTTATTATAACTATGTTAAAATATATTAATATACTATATAAAGGAAGATACTAAAACTATATACTACTTTCTTTAGCTCTATATCTAACTCACCACTCGTGACCCTCTCTCGAGTCCAGCCCCAGGTGGGTTGGACTGGCCACCAGGCTCGAACAATCCTCACCAGAATCCAACCAAGCATCACCCCAGATAAACAACTCTCCAAACACATTCCACATGGGAAAAACAAGGAGCAGAAATAGAAATTGTTTTCTCTTTCATTTCTCTCTGTGCACCTTTATGAAAAATCCTGAGAGAGGGAGAAATGTGCTGCCACACACCAAGGTTTGGAGCAGAGCAGGAGTTGTTGTTTGGCCACACCACGTTCTCCTGATGGGAGGCAGGGGATTTGTGCCAAGACAAAGGCTTTCTGGCAGATGTCCCCCGGAATAGCCCACGGACAGCCCTGATGTTCCGTTTCCAACAGAAAGTGCCCTGTGTCTCCAGGAGAGGGAGTTTGTGCCTCTTCTCGTTCTCAGGGCACTTGCACAGCTGTAAACATAAAGGCAAAATACAGCTTTTTCCTTTTCTTGTTCCTCAGAGCAGTCACTCCATCTTTCCCCGGGCCCCTTACCACGCTCAAAGCCGTGGCCACGTCTGATTTTTGTCAGGAAACAAAGAAAAATGGAGTTGTTTTCAAAAGCAGCACCTAAGTGTTAACAGAATCATGGAATCACTGAGGTTGGAAAATTCTCCTGGCCCAGTGAGCCCACCCTGATCCCCACCTTGTCCCCAGCTCTGAGTGCCACCTCCAGGAATTCCCTGGGCACCTCCAGGATGGGCATCCAACCCTCCCTGGGCATTTCCAATCCCTAAGCCCCCTTTCCATGGGGAAATTCCTGCTGGTTCCACCCTGAGCCTGCCCTGGTCCAGCCTGAGGCCGTTCCCTCTCCTCCTGTCCCTGTTCCTGGGATGAGATCCCAAATTCCCCCTCCTGGCTGTCCCCTCCTGGCAGGGAATTCCAGAGAGGGAAAAGATCCCTCGGGATCCTCCTTTTCTCCAGGCTGAGCCCCTTCCCAGCTCCCTCAGGAGTTCCCCAGCCCCTTCCCAGCTCCCTCAGGAGTTCCCCAGCCCTTTCCCAGCTCCCTCAGCCTCTCCTGGAGCTCCATTCCCTTCCCTGGACCTGCTCCAGCCCCTCCATGTCCTTCCTGTCCTGAGTGTCCCAGAGCTGCCCCCAGCACTGGAGGTGTCCCAGCAGTGCCAGCACAGGGGGAACCCCCAGTAACACAGGCCTGAGCCCTTCATTTATACTCACCTGGCCCCCAAAGGAGAGACAGGGCTGGGATGAAGGCCAGGGGAAGTCATGCCAGAGTATTCAGTATTCAGTATTCAGTATTCAGAGTATTCAATACTCCACTCAACGTGCTCCTGACAGAACAGTAATGATGCACATCTGCATTCCTCCTGCTTGGGGCCAGGGAGGAGCAGGTTTGAGCTCATCCAAACCTCAAAGCTGCTCTTGGAGCTCCCCAGACACATAATAACCACAACAGAGCAGGGATTTTCTGGATGCTGTATGATGCTTGCTGAAGATCTGAGAAGCACCTCGGCCATGCAAGGCATTGGTGTGAGGTGCCAGTGTGGGCCACTAAGCACAGCCAGCAGCCAGTGGCTCCAGGTCTTCTGGGAGGCTGGTCCAAATATTGGCTCCTGAGCCTTGGCCACCAGGGCAGCCTCCGTGTGCTGGGACAGAGGGAGAGCAAAAGCTGGGCCGTGCTCACCTGGCCGTGCACCCAAAGGAAAATTCCCAGCTGGAGAAAGCCACCACACATCGCTCAAGCAAGGAGTGCTGGAATTGTCCAAGGGCTGGCAGGAGCAGCAGCACTGGCCCTGTGCAGGAATGGATCTTGTTGCAGACACCAGCAGCATCTGGGACGAGGGTGGGTTTTTCTGTGCTGCCTCAGCAGTGACACAGTGACAGCAGATCCTCAGTGAGGGCAGTGAAGTGTCCGCAGGCAGGAGAGATTCCAGAGGGAGAGTGGAGCATGAGTTCAGTAAGGAGCAGTTGAGAGGGACAGAAATATCCATAAAAACATTCCCTCCCAGGTGTGTGCTCAGATTTTGTCTTCTTCCTTCACCAAATGAGGGATCTTGGATGCTGATTGAAGAGTGAGGGTAGCAGGTGACCCAAAAAGCTCCAGAAAAAGGCTTGGTTTGGTGAGAACACAGAATGTAGGTGACAAGACTTGAGCTATGTGAACCTTTCACACTGCATCTCTACACAGCAAGACCTTCAGCTCCGTTTGTCTGCCCTGCCTTCCCTTCTCTGGACACAACTGTCACCCTTCAAGTGGTGAGACCCTGCAAGAGCTGGTGTCAGGTGATCACCCATTCCCAGCTATTCCTGATCCTGAGGTCAGGGTGCTCTGCTCTCCCTCTCTGGGTTACTCCTGGACTGTCCCATGCAGCCCAGGAGCAGGACAGGCTCTCGTGGCCAGGCCCTCTCCCCCAGCACTCTTCCTTCCCATTGCTGGGCTCTGTTCTGCCCACTTGGCTGGGCAGATCCCAAGCCCTCCACAGCTTCCAGGCAGAAGAGACCTGCCAGCAGCAGGGCTCACCCAGGACTCAGACCACCTGGGCTCTGCAGACCTTGCAGCCATCAGAGCTGGGAGCTCCAGCTGCCCCTTCCCTGCAGAGTGGGCACAGCCACCTGCCCTCCTCACAGGGACAAGGTGTCCTGAGCCACCAGACCTCTCTGTGCTGCAAAAAGTGCTCCCCTGAGAGGTGCCCAAATGCACCAGCAGTCTTCCAGAGAGAGAAAATACATCCAGAGCTCCCCTCACCTCCTTCATTTGGCACAAGCAGATCTGAAGGTTGCTTTCTTTTTCCAGGCCTGGAAGGGAGGTGCTCCACAGCTCTCAGTGAACCTTCCCGTTCACGTCTGACCTTACAAAATGAAAATAACAAGGTCACAGTCGCATCTTAGTTTTATTACAACTGACCTGCAGGCAAAAGGATAGAACTATTACATAAACACTCTGATCCATGTATAATAGCTTAAATAGAGGAGGAAGTCAAACCAGGATACCGGATAAAATATTCGGAAGCTCTTTGAAGCAGTTATGTTCCTGAGCTTCGTTTTACAGACAATAAGGCAACATCCCTGCACATCAGCTTTTTGATATTTTTATACATTTTTTTCTATGGTACAAGAAAAAAATAATAACCAGAATTCACAATGTACAGTTCTTAAACTATTTTCACAGCTTCTGAACACTATACACCTTTTTTTTTTTTTAATAGATACATTGCAATAAACGGTGCACCCTTAATAATTTATAATAATCTATGTTGAATAGGCTAAACCTGTCCTGTACAGCCACCCAGACAGCAGCACCTCCCTCCTGTCAGTGGCAGCTCAAAGCTTTGCATTTCCATTCCTGAGCTGGGCCAGCACCAGAGCACAGACCCAGCCATCCCAACAGGGCAGAGCAAGAGTGTTTTGGGAGGCTCCATCCAGTGCTGCCCTCTGAAAGGGTTTTGGGTTCCCTTTTGCCAAAGGAGAGAGTCACACTTCCACACCACAGGGAGAGGCAGAGCCTCACGTGTGGCTGCCCCTCCTGGCTCTGGGTCTCCTCACCCCCAGAGCCAGCAGCCCTGGGGACCTGGAGCTCCTGCAGCCCCATCCCAGGCTGAAGGCTGCAGGGAGGAATCACAGCTCCACGGGGTTTGCCTGAGAAAGGCTCTGGGGTGGGGACACTGCTTCAGACAGGCACGGTCTGACTGATCTTTATGCAGGAAGCAGCAGGTACCTCTGCTTTGCCCGAGGAGCAGCCCAAAAGGAACACAATCCTGGAAGGGCAGTGCCATCCAAGGGATCCCACGGTGCCAGCAGCAGCACCAGGACGTGTCCCCTCCACGGCAGACAGCCACCAGCTGGGTCCCAGGTCTCCTCCCAGCTGGGATGTGCTGCTTGGTCCTCACTCAGCTCTGCACAGGTGGCGTTGCTTGGACGTGGGGAGCCCTTCCTTGGGATCCTGCCAGCACCACGGTGTTTCCATTCCCTCTGTGTCCAGGCTTGCTGTTGAGCTCTGATGGGAGGTTGTTCTAACTCTGATGAAGTCCTACCAAGCACCTAAATCAGCTCCGAATGGAAAGCAGAGACCCTGCAGCCTCCATTTTATCCCTGCTACTAAACACCTGCAAACTGCAATATTTTGGGGGAAAAAAAATTTGGGGAAAAATTAATCTTTGAAAAATATGTCAATTAAACAAAGAGAAAAGTCTGATGTGCTGTTTCATTTAGGAATGGAGCAGAAGAAGCTTGCCTGGCCTTGCTAGGCCAGCTGAGAGGAGTTGGATGCTCCTTCATCTCCTTCTGCACCCGACAATCTCAGAGAGGTTTGCTCTGGGTGCAGCACCAGGAGGTCCCAGAGCAGGTTCAGTCCCCAGGTGGTGGTGAATTGTCTCCAGCAGCTCAGCAGGGTGGGCACAGCCCCGTGGCAGCCAGGGCCACCCCTCCATCCTGCCTGCAGCAGTGAGAAGGAAGAGCTCAGGTCTGGACTGGGACCAGGAGCTTTGGCCAGGGGCTGGGAGGGCTGGGCTGTGCCACAGGCATAGGCAGCAGGGCTGGGGACAGCAGGAACACAAGAAACACTCACAGGACTCACAGGCAGAGCTGGTGGCCCATTCAAGCAGCTGCAGCCTCTGTGGATGGCACTGGGTGAAGGCAAAGCAAAGCCAGTGGGTGGTGAGCACTGTGCACTATAAACCAGGTCAACAAGCAGGTTAAATTCAATCAAGTAGTTTAATAATTCTTCAGGTCAAAGGTCTTATCTTACCAGGTAACAATTTACAGGACACCTAGTTAAGAGTGAAGAGTGGCTGGCTTGGTAAAAGGAGGAAGAATACATTATGTCCCATCTCAATAGTTTAATGTTAGCCTCTTTCAACGCAACGTATTTTTGGTAAAGACATATTCACTATATTTAACATGATCTCTCTTTAACAGGAAGTTCAGCTGAGCACACTGTCCCCAGAAAAGTACACTGCGACTGTAAAGCAACAGAATTTCATAGCAGTAAATCTATTGCACTTTGTGAAGAATAAAATTCTCCTTTGCCTTTCCAGCTCCAGAAGGCAAAGCATCTCGTTGGTTAAGCAAGTTCTTCTCCCTCCAGGCAAAGTCTCTTAATGTTCAGACAGACAACACCTAACTTTTGTTTGTTTGTTTTTTATTATTACTTGAAACAACAATCGGAAGAGTTTGAGAGAAAAATCTTTCCAGTAGCTGCTGAGGAGTCTCAAAGTTTTGAGTCTAGAAATGAATTTTAGGTGCTATCCAATCACAGTCAACAAATATATGTACTTATTTCCACATTTCATGAATATGTCCACAAAAGAGCAAGATGAGGTCTCTCTGTGACCAACACTAACACTGTGTGATCAGGTATTACAGGGATGCACTTTATATGTGACAACAGTATACAGACAGGATGGAAATAACACCAATATTATTGCACATGGTGTCTGGGCGAGCATTAAAAACACTGCAATATGTGATGAAAATTCTTTACAGCTTGTTTTCTCTCAGCCCTTTTTCTAGAGTTTGATGTAGCAGCAGTATCAATCCACGTACATTGGAGAGCTGGGAGTTGCTGGCATTTGATCCAGGATTTTACAAACATAGCATGCAACATCCACTGTGCGTTCCTCATACATCAGGATGAAGGGATGTTTCTGGAAGCAGATAAAAAACACCAGAGTTATGGTCACCCTCCTGGCACGTGCCCCTCAGATGAAAACGGAGCAGGGGAATTTGTGTGGTGCAAGAACAGCCTTTGTGGTGGCTGTAGGACACAGGACACAGCCTGGTCCATGGCTTTTCCACACTGGGAATCCGTGTCCCTAAGGTGGGAGGTTACTGAGGCAGTAACCTCAGCACGGGACCCCAGAGTGCCAGGAGCTGCCAGGCAGTGAGGGTGCAGGATCAGCAGCTCCTCTGCAGCACTGACATTTCCTGAAATCCTTTCAGGAGAGGTTTCATCAGCAGCATGGCCACAGTGGGGAGAGTGACAAGGAGTGCCCTGCAGAGGTCAAATCAAGCTCTGCTCTCCTGAGCCCTGACCCTCTGCTCTGCCCAACAGGCAGCACTGGCCAGACTCAGATCAGAGCCGTTGGGACATAACATCAGGGAGGTGCTAGGCCAGGACATCAGGCAAATCCCTTTCACATCAGTGAAACCCCAGAGCTGATTGTGGAACTATAGCCTCTAAGAGGTGCCCTCCAGGTGCCCAGAGCTCCTTCAAGTTGCCACATGGGACTGATCCAAGCCAAAAGCATTGCTGCTCTCTCTCCTTCAGCATCCCCACCACAGACAGGCCCTGCTGCTGCCCAGCTCTGCTCCAGATCTCACTTCTGCCTGAGCCCAGCCCCATGTGAGCAGTGTTGGAGGCATTGAAAGATGCAGCACTGAGAACTCACCAGAAGCTCTTTGTACTTTGGCCTTTTGGACTCGTCCTTTGTAAGGCTAAGGAAAGCAGAGAGATAATTAGGGGAACGTGGGATCAGGGAAAATGTTACAGACATCAAATACAAGCTTTTACAGGACATGATGCTGTCACAGTGGGACACACCACCTTTGGTTTTCTGGAAAACACATCCTTGCACTGTGAGTGACCACAGGAGTAACCTCCATCCCTCCATCCCAGCTGTGCAGGCAGGGGCTGGGGCTGTGTCTCACACAAACTTCCTGCCATGGAAACTTCCCTCCTTACCCTGTCTCCTCTCCCTAGCACAGCCTCTCAGAGGTTTTCTCCTAATTCCTTTCCTGAAGAGCAGTTTCCAGGGTCTGCCCTTCAGTTAACCCACACAAATCCCCCATTGTGGATATTCTCAGTTCACTCAGAGAGAAAATGAGAAGGATTTTTCCCAGGCTTAGCCTGGCAGAAATCTTTCTCTTTTTCTCTCTGACTGAACTGAGAATATCCACACCTCATCACCTCCAAAGCACTAAAATGTGAGAAGTCCTCCCTCTTATCCTGGTGCAGGAATGTGAAAAGAAGCCAGGAAGTGCTGGACACTTGACCCTTGCCAAACACCAGCCAACAAAACGAGCCAATCCCAGAGCTTTCAGCAGCACACACTCACCACAAGTTGACGAAGTTGATGAAACTTGGGGAAAACTCCCTTTCCTCTGAGTTACTCAGCTGTGGTGGGTCTCCTTTCACTACCTGTGTCAGCTGGTCAAACACACTGTTCCACTTGGGGTAGGGGAATCGCCCCGTGGCCAGCTCGTACTGCAGGGAGACAGCAACAGCAGCAGGCACAATTACACCAGGGAAGCTCAGTCAGGGAAAACAAGGATATTGAAAAAATATGGATATTGATCTAGTATCGATATCCAACTGTGATGGACAAAAACTCTCTAACAGTTTAAAGTTAGAACGTGTCTGTTTATTCGACACCGGGCAGTATGTGGGATAGCTCCCAATCCACACCGTGGCTTCCAGGTGATGACAGAGCCCTTTTATCCATACAAGTATTGAATACCCAAAATTCAAATACACATTCATCATTTTGGTACAGCCCATTCCCCGCTTCCTATGCTAATCAATCCAAAAGCCATTCAGCAGGCGTGGTTTGTTCCTTGAAATGGGTCGGTGGTCCCTTTCATGGGGAGGGGTCCCAAAATGAGGAAGTCAATGAAGTCTTCCTCGTTCTGACCTTTCTACCTTTTCAATGCAAATATGACAAATGAACTCTTGGTAGAACTCCCATTCCTTGTCTTCAATTGGTTTCAGAACAGAGGAGGCCCACAATTGTCTTATGTTCCTAAAAGCTATTTGTCAGTTTGTGTATTCTTCATTATAAACCAGCTAACTAAACATTGTGCTGACAAGCAATCAATTATTAGTTAACTACTAACTCCTTACTTCATCAAGGCCTACTCATTTATTATTATTATTTTCATTAACTCTAGTAAGGCTTATTTCTAACTAAAATCTTAGCTCTTCTAAACTCTCTAACTCCCTCAAAGTTTACGTTCCAGCAGGGGCACAGCCCGACTCACCAGGGTAATGCCCAGGCTCCAGACGTCGGAGCGCACGTCGTAGCCCTGCCGCGAGGCGCTGGGGTCTATCCTCTCCGGCTGTGGGGGTGAGAAGCACCAGTCAAACCCTCTGTGCCATGCAGGAAACATCTGCAGAGCTAGAGAGAACCCTGAGCCTGGCACAGCTCCGAGCAAAACCTGCGGCCGGGGCAGCCAGCCAAGCCCAGCAGAGAAACATCCCAAGGAATCACTTCAAACGCTGATTTTATGGAGGTGAAGTGTAAAAGGTGATCAGAAATGGCCATTTGTCACAGTTCAATGCTTTGGGTTTTTTTTAACTTATGCACAAACATCTTGAATAATTGTGGCTGTCTTACTTACTTAGTTTTGTTCAACTTTGGGATGTCTTTAACACAAAGTGTCACTTTCTCTGTTTTCACAGCCAAGTTGTTCCCCCAAGGGAACATAAGAACTGGAATCAACATCTCATCCACCACTCTGGGGAGCGAGGCTTAGCAGCATCTACCAGAACTCTTCTCCATAACCAGCTACTAAGAAACTATTAAAACCAATGTGCTTTAAGAAAACTTCTCTAACAAGGTTTTAGTCATCCCTTGAAGGCAACTATGATGTTACAAGGCTTTAAGACATGCAAAATGTCTTTCAGAGAAATCAATATTGAGCCAGACATGGGTGATTCACACCTAAGAGCAGGTTATCCAGAGAGCTGAGCCAGCAAAAAACATCTTTATGCCTTGCATATCACCTTTATGAGAAACCTCAGTCTGCCTTCTTTAGTTAAAAATATAATAATTAACATGTCAAAAGAAACAGGCTTTCATTCAGTTTTGACTACAGCAATAATAAAGATACCTGCATAGCAATAAATTCTAAATGATGGGGTATAGGAAATACTTTGAAAGCCCTGGTTGCTTTATAAGCTACATTTTAATAAAATTTCATGGCAGACACAGCTGAGAAGTGCAGCAGCAGCTGGCCCAGCCCTGAACTCTACTGGGGACACACGCTGATGCCTTGAAGCTGCCACCACCAGCTCAGAACACATCAAATCATGGGGATGCTGGCCTGGCCAGTGCTGTGACCCACGGGGATGTGCCACAGCACAGCCAGCTGCCAGGCTGCAGATAAAGGAGGGGACTGCAGCTGCTCTGGGCAGGGCCAAGCTGCCCAAAGGGACTGGAGGGATGGGTGGCACTGGTGAGACACAGCTGGCTGTCCCAGGCACCCATACCCTGCTCCTGTGAGCAAACAGCAGCGGGGATTTGGCCCCAGACCATGGTGGCACAGCTAAAGGGAGAGCAGGATGGTCCAAAATAAATCCTATATAAATAGAGAGCAGGAAGAATGCTGAGAATTTTCCATGTAGATCACACAGGAGCAATTAACACCAACGAAGGAAGAGTCACCATGTCACACTCTGGGGGCCTGGAGTGAGGGCTGCAGACAAAGCTTGGCTCAGGCCAGGTGTCCTTCTGATGTCAAGAGCAAGCAGGAAAGGAATGGCTGAGGTGGGACCCATCTCTGGATGTGCTGATGGGTGAAGGGACAGGGGATGGATGTGTCAGAGAAGGGTACAGGCTGCCATGAGGCTTCTCCAGCTCAGTGCCCACCTGAGTACCAGCAGCTTGACTGAAAAACGAGCAGTGGGCACCACAGATCCTCCCTCTCTTCCAAACCCCAGCTATACAAACAGCATACATGGCCTGATCTCTGCCTGAACCACAAGACATCCAGCTGACCCTGACAGAAATGCCAGCAGCAACTGTCCACCTTCACCAAGGAGAAGTGAGAAGCCACAGTTTGCAGCCAGAGGCTGCAAGCTGACCTGGGAAAAGGACCTGAGTGACCAAGGATGGAGGTGACAGCATCACACTCCACTCCTGTGGAGGTCTGGAAGGAGCAGGGCAGGACACCCATCCTCACGATGGGTGGGTCTGCCCTCCACCCCTGCCCAAACCGAGCCCTTCCAGTCTCACCTTCCTCTCTGATACAGGCACTGGGTTCACTGGGGCATTCAGAAGGCAAAAAGCAGAAATGACACAAAGGCCACCAGCTCCAGCTCCACACTGAGCCCACTCTCAGCAGCATCCCCACAGCCAGAGGCAAGGCAGGGACCTCAGGGAGGACACAGGGCTGGCCAGGAGCTGTGGTGGCTGTGGATCCTCACCCAGAGCAAACCCCAGTGCTGGCACGAGCACAGGGCATGGTGAGGAGGGCTCAGAACAGCCCAGGCTGCTCCAGGGCCAGTGACTGCCTGGGAACTCAGTCCTGCCTTTCTTTCCTCCAGAGAACACGAGGTACCAAGGCTTTGGGGCCTTTGCTCACTGTAACAATTGCAGGGGAACTGAAAGCCAAAAGCAGAACAACCTCTCAGCGCCGCAGCTCCAAGGCTGAGGCGCCGCTCGCTGTGACAGCTCCAACAACTCTGGTCCAAGCACACAGCACTTGCTTGGCAGCTGGACATGGCTCCTGCTGCCTCCTGAGAGCACTCACAGCCAGACTGGCTGACACCCAGTGTCATTGTCACCAACAGGCTCCTTCAGAGCTGAGTGCCATGGGCTTGGTGAGCCTTGCAAAACCAGACACTGTCATCAGGGAGAAACATCCAGCAGCCCTAAGGAGAACCTCACTGGCTGAACAAAGCTACTACTCCTGGCTTATTTTACACTAAAAAAATACTGTTTTCCTTTTGAGAGGAGTGTGGCAGCCTGACTCCTTCCCAGGTATATGCAGTTTGATGACAGCATCCCTTCAGACATCAGCCTCTGCTGGCTTGGAGGAATATCTGGCAGATGTGCCCACACACTGGGGACATCTCCACATCTCCCAGGCTCCCTGGTACGTGGAAATGCTCATGTACTTGGAAAGGAGTCACTGAGGCTGCAGAGCAGCAGGGAAGAGGCCAGTCATCTCCCACATCACTTGCCAGCTGCTGGCTGCCCCACAAACCCTGTGCCCTGCCAAGGCTCTGCAAAACACAAACTGAACTGCAACACTTTTGCTCACTTAAAAGTCCACCCAGGTCTGGAGCTGCCAATGGAGCTGCACAAATCACAGAGTGCACAAAGACAGACAGGAGAAAGGAAAACCAAAGGGCTATGGAAGCACTCACCTACCCACATCCCAGGGGAAAGGGAGCACTGCAGATATTTACAGATATCTCAGGAACTATCATGGCATAACCACACCAGCCTGAGCAGAACTGACCACCCACCCATGGCTCAAAGGAAGATCAGAGTCAGGGCAGACAGGTTTTGCCCTGGACACCACAGTCAGAGAAAACCCATCAGAGAGCCATGGCTTGGGCCAGGTGGGAACCATGCCTTGGAAGAGAGATATTTGCCTTTTTTCTACTTGGTGGTAGATGAAAAGAGTTCAGAAAACAGTATTTTTCAGCATACAGAGTCATAAATCAGTAACAAAAAAATAAAGACAGGCATTAAAATTACAGTTACATGAAGAGCAGCAGGCACAGCTCCTTACACAATGTACTGGCTCATGTGAGAACAGAGATGCATTTTCAAAGCACCCTGAAGCACTGAAGTGTTTAAAACCTTCAGATAGCTTCCAAAATCACCACTACAGCTTTTCTCTCTGGGAGGGGGAGGGCAGCAAACAAGCAGGACAGACTCCCAGGAGCCAGGACTCAGCCCCAGCAATTTCCACGCAGCTGCTCCGCTACTGCTGCTCTCCAGAATCACATTCTCCTGGCATGAAGTTCTGGCACACTTTGGAATTCAAGTGGTTTACAAAAATCACTGAAATTCTGCTCTGCAATAACTCCCGTGACATAATCTTAGCAGAGCAAATGGATTTCTTGCAGAGCGAGACAAACCCACGCTCTGACAGCCCTGCTCCCCTGGGCAATGGTGTTTTGGAGCTGCTGGAAGGCACAGAGCTCCTCTCCACTCCAGCACCACAGCCCTGGCAGCAGCAGAGGAAGCCAGCAAAAACCCAGGAATTTGGACACTTTGCCACAGCAGAGCATGAGCCAGAGCTGTTTCATCCAGGAAAGGGGTGTTCATCCCACAGGAAACAGGCTGGTAACAGGGAGGGTGAGATCCCACAGAGCCCATCCCACTCACCGCCATGTAGGGCCGGCACCCTGCATCCCGCGTTTTGGCAATGGAGTCCACGAGCTGTCCGCTAATGCCAAAGTCACAGAGTTTAATATTCCCATTTCTGTCCAGAAGAATATTGGAAGGTTTGATGTCTGCAGGGGAAAGAAATTTCAAGCAGTAAGTCACGGCTGGAGGTTTGAATTTCAAGCAGAGCAGCTGCAGAGGATGGAGGCCGGCAGTGCCGCGCCGTCGCCGTCACCCTTGGCGCTGGATCCTGCATGGGAGCACGAGGGGATGGAGCCAGCCCCGGAGATGCCACGTGCCCAAAAGCAGCAGCAGATGCCCTGAAATCACACTTACATGGAAAAAGCACAGGCTAAAGGGACAACAGAACAGGCACACTTGTTCAAAACCTGCAGTCAAGACTCACGGCGTTACAGATGCTGTGATTACACTTTGAGTGAACCAGAGGCCACTAACAATTCTTGCTGTTATTTTAACAGATAAGAAGAAAAGACATGAAGTTAAAAAAAGACACAAAGAACTCACCTCTGTGAATGATTTTCAAGTTTTCTTTTAAGTGGTTTAGTGCTTTCACAGTCTAGGAAAGAAAAACAGATGAAAAATAAGCAGATGTCGTAAGAGTCCTGTGACTATTAAATTTTTGGAACTGCAAAAACAGGGTTAAAAGCATTTAATACATTGAGATATCAATGTTGTAATATGCCAGGCAATAAAACATTTTTCTCTGAACCTTTTCTGCAAACAGAAGGTGATATAAGAGAGGGTATGGGCTTAAGTGAACACACATCCCCTGTGAGGTGCAAAGATCCCACTCTGGGAGAGGGAGCAAGAGGTGGAGCCAGAATAATTTCTGATGTTAATTATCCTCAGCAATAACTTATTTCAAGCCCTATGCTACATTTTTTCAACAAGTCACAACTGTTTCAATTTCCTGACTTTTCATTAGGCCAGAACCTCCAGGTTATAGCAAGAAAACATCAGCCGGGTTCTCCAGTGCCTTTGGGAGCCTTTGCACAGGACTGCCAGAAGCTTCTCTGGTCTGGGCTGGTGCCTGTGCTGCTGGTGCTCAGGAAGCTGGTCCTGGGGTCCGTTTATGAACTGATTACTGACCCCAGAATCTATGTTTACACCATGCAACATACTGTGGAAAAGTCATGAGCGCCCTGAAGAACCATTCCCAGTGTGGTGCAAACAGCAGCAGCAATTCTGCTCCACAGACCAACCACATTTTCACATGGAGTGTGATCTGAACAAGGATCTGAACTTTTCAATTATCTTCAACAACAAGGTTTAACAAAATACTCACAGCTAAAGTGATTTTGCCTAAGATTTCTTCTGGAATAACATCATCTAATACACTATATACATATTTGTAAAACTTATCAAACGAGGTAGACATGAGCTCCATACAGATCCAACAGTCACCCTGGAAAGAGAAAAGAATGTGTGTTACTGTTGATATCAAAAAGAGAAATACAAATCCAGAAAGCATACAGAGATCTGTGGAATCCTGTGAAATACATTAACAGCAACATGCATTCTATAAAAAGGAGGAATTCAGCTTGATTCATTTCAGCAATGAAAGACTTGCTCCCATTGACAGCAGAGGCATTTACCTGCCCAGCTCACACCTGGCATTACAGTTTAGTTGCTTGAACACAACTGAATCCAAGCCTCACACAGTGTTTTGCTCTCCAGAAGGCTGCAGGCACAGTGGAACACCCAGAAGACGGGAGCTGCTTTCCTAGGAAGGGCTGTGTGGCTGGGGAAGAAGATTTTGGGTTACAGCCAAGGGCAGCTCCAGCTTACACTGCTCATTTGGCATCAGGCTTTTCACACCGGCTCAAGGCAGAGCAGGAGCTGATGTCATCTACTCAAGGGTTGCTACAAGGCTGAGCCCAGAAAACTCTCACTGCACCCAAAAAAAGCAGAAGATGGAGTAAGTGTTGTGACAGACATGGAAGCAGGGACATCACAGTGAGAGGCCAGAGCAGCACAGCAGGACAAGGGCATGACCAGCACACTTCAGAGGTCCTGGAAAAAGGTGAACCTGGGCTGCTACAGACCACAGGTTGGCTATGGAGGAAGTTGGCTAAGGAACTGTTCAGATTTAAACTACAGAAATTAAATTGGGCAATACATGTGGAAAATTTCTCTTTTCCACACTAGCAACAAAGGCAAAGTGCAGATGAAGCACTTCCATACAATGGAGAGTAGCTCAGGGCAAGAGACGTAGCTCCAGTGGCAGTGATGTGCATAAATCAAGTATGATTTGTGAGCTGTCTGTAGTGAGAGCAGCCTCTCTCTCATGGACTGGCTCTACTGGCCACAGGATCATCCAAAAACTGCTTCTGTTTTGATCAGATTTATTAAAGAATTGGGACAGGGCTATACTCCTGGGCTATTGCAGTGAGACTGTGGGGGGACAGGACTGGTTCCAGAGAGCCAGAATACCACAGACCACCTGCAGCCTTGTATTTATGTCTCAGCACTGGTGCACAGTACTGAGAGTGACTTCCACTGCCCAGGTTACAACAGCTGGTGTTTGGACAGTAAAACCAAACCAAGTAAACAACACTTGAGCAGAGCCATTGTCATAACCAAGGCTCTACATGCACTCTGCATCACAGGTTGGGATGGGTATGGTACTGAAACCTTAAATAAGTACAACATATTACTATCCAATGGTAATTTTTAAGAATTAAAAAAAACTCTTTTATTATGAAAAGCATTTAAGGAAATGCCTGGTTTACATTAAAAATTACCATTTCTAGCCAATGGTAATTTTTAAGCAATTAAAAAAACTCTTTTATGATCAAAAGCGTTCAAGGAAAGACCTGTTTTACAGGTGTCCTGAAGTAGATGCCATACAGAACTCCTGAATGAGGGTGTTTATTGATCTGGTAATAAAAAACCTACCTGCCCTACATGAATTCATGTCAGCAAGATCAATGGAAAAAAGTAACAGGCCTTTTCCACTATGCAGCATCCTTAAGGTTGGTGACAAGACCCAAAACTCTACAGGCTAACTCTCCTGGGACTTAGCCTTACCTGTTGGCAAACTGGTGAATTTTAACACAAAGGAAGAGGAAGACTGGCTGGGGACTCAGCTGTTTTCCTGACCAAATACCAAGAAGTGCTGATGCACATGGGCAAGTCCCACTCCATTGTGAACTGTGAGGACAAAACCACCCTAATAGAAGTTCCCCTTTACATTCTGCCTCTTAAATCAGGTTGATTTCTGATCATAAAATGACAAAAGAAGAGCTTTAATTTTCTCTTCGTGGCAGAGCTATTCTTCCAAAGAATGTATTTTAGTCTTCACTGGGTATTAGATTACCAGATGCTAATGCACATATTGTAGACATTCCAAAAAATGTCCAGGAACACCCTGTGCATTTAATTCAAAATATTCCTGTCCAGGACAGACACAAAAGCTGCTTCACAAGCAACAGAGATGCTTCAGCTGCTCCATGCAGAGAATTCCCATTGAGCAGGTGTCACAAGTTTGTCACCCATCTGGAGTGCAGCTCACCAGGAAGGGGCCTGTGGCTCCAGGTGGACATTAAACTGAACATGAGCCAACAATCCATCTTTGCTGGGCTGAAGGATCACAGCACGAGGCAAAGTGTCACCAGCAGGTGGAAGGAGCTGATCCTTCCCCTCGATCCAGCAATGGGGAGGCCACACCTGGGGTGCTGTGACCTGTGCTGGGCTCCCCACTGCAAGAGAGACTCCAGCAAAGGGCAACGAAGATGACTGAGGAACAGGAGCACCTTCCCCATGAGAAAGGCTGATAAAGCCAGGACTGGTCAGCCTGGAGAAGGCTCAGGGGAACCTCACCAACCTAAGGGGAAGCTGCACAGGGGATGGAGCCAGGCTTGCTCAGTGGTGCTGAGCAACACAAGCAGAGCAGTCTGACATACAGGAGGGGTTCCCTGTGAGCATGAGGAAACACTTTTTGTGAGGGGGATTAGTCACTGGCACAGGTTGCCCCAGGAGACTGTGGAGACTCTATCCCTGCAGAGATTCAAAAGTGATTTGGACACAATCCTGGTCAAGTGGCCCCACTTGATCATGGGGGTTGGAAAAGGTGACCTCAGAGGTCCCTGCCAACACCCACCACTCTGTGATGGAAATGCTGAAGGTTTATCACATCTGCCCACTGCAGGGGCAGCCAGCTCTTTCTGCAAGTGGCAGCTACAGCAGTGAGAGAGGCTGACAAATGTCACCACCACCACCATGTATTTACATGGCACACAGGACACCTTTCCTACAGACCAGGGACTGACAGGGGGACAGATGGGCTGAGGGATGGCAGCACAGTCAAGGATTTCCATAAAACCAGCGTGAGGTGCATCAACAGCAAACAACTGTGCCAGCAATTCACACCAGCCCTGCACTGTGCTACCAACACATCTATCCCAGCTCTTCTCTCCTGCCAGCAGAAGTTCCCCATGGGCTGATTTACCCAGCTTCCTGGGCATATTCTGCAGCTTGCAATGAATTTTTCATTGAATACTTTTATCAAGTATTGAACTTATTGGTTTAAACTTGGCTCAGCTACACTTGCACTGTGTAGGAGTCACTCCTGAGATCCCAAGTCAAATAAGGCTTCTTTCCTCTTCCCCTCTTAAAGAGAAACACAATCAGAACAGGTACTTTGAAGAGCCACTAGTGTGGGTCATGGTAACTACCCAAACATTCCCAGCTTTACAAGTACTGTTGCAAACCAGAGCAGCTGTAAAGCTTGTAGCAGACAGGCAGGTAAAGAAGACCATTTTTATTTTCTCAGACCTAAAAACCTCTTAAACCAGCCATGCTCAGGGCCAAAGTCTTGGGGGTCCCAGTGCAGCACTGTGGGCTCAGTCCACAGCTCCTTTCTCACAAGGAGGGACTCAAATGAAATGTTCGAAGAATCCCTGTCAACCAATTTTTAAATTTTTTTTCTTCCCCCATCTAGCAAATAGAGCCTTGAGAGGAAGCACATGAGCATGACTAGCCAGACCCTCTTCAATCAGATCTGTGTGCACCAGCAGGACTCTGGGCTCTCCTGAGTGCAGGATGGAAAAACCTGGTCCCTGGGGCCAGTGGGAGCCCCACAAAATTCAGTAAATGTAAGATCCTGCACTTGCATCAGGGCACCTACCAGTATAATGATGATGGGATTTAGAGCAGCCCTGAGGAGAAGGGCTGGGAGATAATGGTGAATGAAAAATTGGACATGAGCTGGTAACATGTGCTTGTAGCCCAAAAAGCAAACCATGTCCTGGCCATGGTGCACTGAAGCCCCTGGTTCCATGAAACACTGTCTTTTACTTTTTCAATTTTGTTCTTTGACCAGGCAATTTCATCTCATTTAATGGGTGCCAATGAGCTGAAGTCCTGTACCTGGCAATCAACTGTTACACATTCCATCACATGCACAGACATACACTGACAGAAATGTCCCTCCTGACTGAAGAACAGGCAGCAAGAGATGAAGGTTCGGGTGCTGCCTGCTGAGGGACAAGCATGGCCTAGAGAAGACTCTCCTATCACAAAATGTGGAACAAGCAAGAGAAAATACAACTACATAAATTTTTTGTGTAGTATTTCCTGCCTTTCCAAATCAAACTGCAGGTATTCACAGGAACTTGTGTTCACAGCTACTTCCCTGGCTGCTTATCTGGCTACAAAGTAAGACTTTGCATAATTTTACCCAATTTGGTTTAGTATTCCCAAACTCAGGATCCCAGAGCTTAGCTCTGCCTCTCCACATCAAACACTCCCTGTTGTGGAAGGCTGCCTGCCTTCCCTTTGTGCCAGCTGCCCTGCTGCTTCTCCTGGGGCTGCCTGCATCCTGCCAGCCCTCTGACTGCACAAGCTGCCTCTTCAGCCTGTTCAACTCCCCTAAAGAGGCTCATGTGAAGTCTTTCACCTTTTAGGAGCAGGCAAAGAAGATTTCTCACTGGTTGCTCCATCCATAGCCAGAGAACCTGAAACCCAGCTCAGGGTAGCGAATCCCAAAAGGATTTCCTTACTTTTCACCTTGAAGTGCTGGAACAAAGAGCTTTGTTTTATATTGTTTGCTGGAGATTTCCTGAGAGAGTTTTGGTCTTTACCAATGTCCCATGAGCTCTTACACCTCAGGGGATGGTGCAGCAGTGATTTGGATCTTTCACAGTTATTTGAGAACAGATCTGATAAGCAGATGGGGGGTCAGGCAGATCCAAACATCCTGGTGAAATTCCTTTTTTCCCTTTCTGTGCTTCTCTGATGTCATACCTTGCTATGTTTAGAAGATTAAGATTCTACTTAATATTAGAACAAGTAATTAATAAGACAAGACAGAAAACTTTATGGAAGCCTCCCAGCTCACCCTGTGTGCCCCTGAGGAATGTGACTTGGAGCATCCCCAGGCAGTGAGGGACCAAGGAGAGGAGCTGCTTTCATCTCTGAAGCAAACACCACTCATGTTGAAGGGGGAAAAGGGGATTTCACTCCAACCAGAGCAATACCAGCAAAACCTTTCCCAGACAGAGCATGCAAGGAGCCCTGGGAGCCCTGCCTGGCTGCAGGAGGATGAGATTTTTGGACATGACAAAGAATGAAGCCAAGCAAACATCTGGGTGCTGATTAAGGTAAGTTTTTCTATTGTTTATATTTACATTTACACCCTGGGATGTGTCCAGAGCTGAAAGGAGGTGAGAGGCTTGCACAGCTCTGAGCATGCTGCTCATCAGCATCTGGTAAGACACTCTTTTGTCCACAGACCTTTCCTCACACCAGCTGACAGCCTTGCCACCTTTATCTTAGCAAAGCTGGAAATTTCCAGCCAAGCTCCTACCACACATGGTAGGAGCTTGCACGGTGTGAACATGGACAATGCCTGCTGGCCCAAAATGGCTCTGTGTTCAAAAACATCAGAAAAGGCAGAGCATGGGAAAAGGAAGGATTACTATGCTTATTTTAGAGAATGAGATTTAAAGCCAGAGGAGTGACCTGGAAAAATTAGAGAGGCAGACTCTCTAGAAGCAGGAATTAAATATTCAGACACAGTTTTGGGTTTTACCTGCAACACTGACCTCCCTCTAAATGTTTTCCAGTAAAACCCCACAAGACTCTGCGCAGGCTGCTATGCCTGATAATCCCCAAAGACCACCTGCAGCCCTTAGGTCTCTATTTTCCTCCTTCCCTTGAGCAGAGGTACTGGATTTGTGCTGAAGCAATGGGAAACAGGCAAGGATTCCATGTCTGTCCCCCTACACTGTGGCAGTTTCAACAACTGAGCAATTACAGGAGCAGGGATATTCCAAGCCTGCAGAGGAGATACAGGAGGAAGGAGATTTCAACATTCATCTTCTCCAAAACTCCTGTTTCAAAGGGAACAAATGATTGCCCAGAAGTGCTGAGTCTCCTGGCTAAACACCATGGAGTAAAAGTGGAGAACCAAGAAATCTAACTTCAATCAATTTTCTCCTCCTTAGCATGAGTTTGAAATTACAAAGGGGAAAAAAAAAAAAAAACAAGGTAAAACCCAAACTCTGCTAGAAGTGCAGCAAGTTTGGGGTGCCCACCTCTCTGAAGAGCGCGCCATAAAACTGAACAATATACGGGCAGTCACTGCTTCTCATCACTACATCAAGGTCCATCAGAAGCTGCTTCTGCTCCTTTTCATCCACTGTCGACCGAATTCTCTGAAAGAGGAAGAGTGGCAGAGACTTCATCACTTCCATGCCATTACTGCACCCTCAGCCCTGCTGGTGGAGAAGAGTGACCAGGACCCCAAACCCAAGTGTGCCCAAAATAGAGAATCAAGCAGTGCTCTCAAATAAGAAATGGAACTGAACACTCCTAAAGCTGTTTAATCAGATTATAAAGCCCTCAGTCCTCACATAAGCATCAACATTTTCAGATGAAATGTCAGGAAGAAATTAAAGAGCTGAAATTTCATTGAAAAGTACAGCAAAACACCACATCCAGGCTTTCATTTCAAAACAAATTCCCACACAGTTCTTAGCCATGTTGGAAGGGGCTTGAAGACTGGTTTGAAATTTAACCAAGGAATATGATGTTTAAAATTTCTAAGCACAGAAGAAAAAGGCTCCTTCCACAGCCTCCACCATGGCTGGGGAGAAGGGACTGCCACATAACCCAGGGAACACATTTCTCTGGTAATGTTAATGATGGGCAGCAGCCCTGTGAGCTCTTCTCCTAAAACTATCAATCCTTCACCTAGTACTGGCTGAGGGAACACCAAAACAGTACAAAACATAGTTTATATAGCTACATACCCCATGTGTATATAGAGATATATATGTATACACACACTATACACTGTATATATTAAAAAGTTTCATTTGGGCTTGAAAGAACAGTGCACATTTGAAAACAGAAAATTGTCCATTTTCAAACATGAAACTGGTTAAATGAAGGATGGAGATGACCATACAATTTTTCATGTAATTTCACAGATATATTTAACATCTTGCACTAATTAATACATTCTCTGAATCACAAGTGAGGAAATCGTGATCCTGAAGCTGTGACTCATGTTGAAAAACCATTAAAAAAAACAAGTAAAAAATATCTGGCAAGAAATCCAAAGCAACAGAGGTAGCCAGGACCATCCTCAGGGACAAAAACTACATGGCTACCCATGAAAGAAAATTTATTCAAGCTTGTGGAAAAAATCTGCAAGATACTAACACCCATTTCACCAATACTATGGCCCCGTGGGCAACTGCTGGTGGCATCAGGACCACACACATCAGCCAGCCCAGGCTAGGTGAGTGAAGGTACTTTCAAAGCTGGCCATTTATATAGCACCACATGTGAAACAGTGCACCCTTATGCACTTTAGGACTTATTTTGTGATGAACCATACAAAACAAGGACAGTATTGACACTGTAATTTTCCTTACCTGTAGTGCATCCTGGTATTTTGGTATTTAACCACTTGCTCTTAATGTTCTAGCACCTCTAGTTTGGTCTAGACCAGTAAATAATATGTTTATATTGCCATTTTCCCACCCTGTGAATTCTAGAGTTCTTGGGGACCTGTCAAGAGATTTATCCAGCACCCACAGTCCATAATATCTGTGAGGTGGAGTTCTGTGCCACCAACAGAGAAAGAAGCAGCTCAACGGGCCAGGAATGGACCTAAAACACTTCACCTCCAGGTCACTGGTTCAGGTCTGTGTCACACGAGCTCAGCCAGCCACTGGCTGTGTCCTGCTCTCAATCCCCCCGAGAGGCTGAAGGCCAGCAGAGTGAATGTCTCTCTCCAAGTGACACACCAGCAGCACTGTGTGGATGGAAATGCCACTGCTCTGACCTCCAGAGAAGGTGATAGAAGCCAAAGCCACCACGGCGAGACCTACAACCAACAGTTCAGCCTCTCACCGAGACATGATCCACACTGAAAACGTCACCTCTGGTGAGGAACGAGAAGATTTTCTCCATATTGTAACTTGTGTTCTCCTTCTGTGCCCACTCCACGTCTGTCTCCAAAAAAGCCTCTTTCCTGGTCCTCTGAGACTTGTCCCAGCCCTGCTCTGCATTCCCCTTGCACCTGCACAGTCACAGCCAGCCCCACAGCATCCTGCTCGAAGTCCACCTCTTCTCCTCCCACCTCTGACATTCCTCCTCTCTGTTACTTCTCCAGCACTGCAAACCATGTGAAATACACTCTGTATGGTGGAGGTGATATTAATGGCACTCCAGAACAACACTGAACCCAAACACTCCTCTTCTCAAACACGAGCTCCCAGCAAGAAAGGGCT